CAACTAGGGTTTCACATTTTGGTCGAATGATTATCTGACACCAAAGGTGGAGTTTGTGGATCCTGTTGAAAATAGACTAGGGTTTCGGTTGCCAAGTCCTATTCGACAGCAAGAGTTAGAGGGATATGTTTGGGCCAGCGAATTGATAATGGTTCATGAGGAGGTTGTTGCATCTCCAAGAACAAAGAGGAAAAAGAAACATGAGATCTATATAAGGAGGAAGACTTCTTTGAGATCATTATCACGATAATTGCAAGTTTCTTCTTACGTTTAGGGTTTACATCTTTTACTCTAAGATTTTCCTCTTTAATATCTCTAAGAAATCTCTTGTAAGAAACCCTAGACTATATATAACCCCCATTGATAAGGCATGTGTAAGCTCTTGTTCTTCTTTCTAGTGGAGTTTGGGATCTAGAAGATCGTTAATTGCTTGTGTTCTTATTTTCTGTATAATTAAACATAAGAATGAGTTAGAACAATCGAGCATAGAGCTAGCTTCAGCGACAAGAATAACTCAACATATATATATATAGCATTTCTTTGATAGGATTTTTTGTTCTAACAAAACTACGTAGAGACATTAGATCTGGTCAGTGACATCAACCAGTAAGAATTTTAAGCGATATTAGATTGCATAATAACTAAAAGAGGTAAGGAAGTAATTGTAAGAGTTTTTCGTACCGCTTTGAAACATTTTTAACCACATTTCTCTCAAACCATTTTGATTATACCATTTTTACTAATTGATAACGATTGAAACAGTAAGCATTTTGTGGTAGCGTTAAACACTTTACAGTAAAGAACTAAAGACAATAAAGTTGTTGCATAGTAAGCTCTAGCCGACATCGGGTAGTGGTCTTGGTAGAGTTGGAGAGAGCTTCATGTTTCTTTTGGCTAAAGTAGTCCTGTCCTAGAGCTCATTTTACAGATGTGGAGATCAGTCTTTGTTCGTTTGACTTGTTAGCTCCTCAGTTTGAACGTCATAGTATCGGGCTATACCGGTTGAAAGAGCTTTTAATTGCGATGTTAGCGTTTTTACTATCATTCAAGTTGATTTTCTTTTCTATCTTTCTGTTTATTTGTACCTATCAAGTTTTCAGGTTCTTTGTAACCACTTTCTCGACGGTTTTTTCCCAACTCATCGTCTTGAGAAAATACCGATTACTGTTTTCTTGTTTTTTAAACTGGGACCAACTCATAGGATTAGCAATTTTTTTCTAAAACAACTTGTAAACCTGAAATTGTTTATTTTGAATGATGTTTGCATTCTTAGTAAGAAAAAATCGATAAAGGTTAGCAATCAATACAAAAGTCATTCAACTAATTATTTCTCAAGCACTTGGACATATTGGACATTTTATAATATTTATAGAAGCATTAATTCATGTTTCATCATATATATTTTTGTTTTCCCAACTGCTATAAGCCTA